ATTGAGATTAAGCATTGAGGGAGTTCTACAAGAGTTTGACAGAGAACTTTTATTTTAAAACATCTGAGTTTGTATTTTGTCTTTTTTATTTCACTTTTCTAGCAATTCGATTTTATTATATTTTACAAAAGTATTTATCCACAACATATTGGAACAAATAAATAAACACCGGCTCCTGAGAAGCACTGCCTTAGTGTATAAGAATACTGTACAAGAATGTTCTTTATAGCAATCTTTTCAGTGAAAACTGAAAAGAAAAACAAAAACCAAATGTTCAGCAAGTGAAAAACTGAATATTAAATAATAAAAAGAAACAATTTAACTTGCACAACTCAACATAAGTGAATCTCAAACATCACTGACATACGATTCCACACAAAAGTGATACAATACAGAAGCTTACACACACATGCATAGTAATAGCAAAACAATCAGGCACAGAAATTATAAAGACCAAATTCAAGATGGGACTACCTCTGAAGAAAGAGAAAGGGGGAAACTGGAGAAAGGCACAGAGTTAACTATAATTCAGTCTTTTAAAAAGGTCTTTTATAAATAAGGCAAAAATGTTAAGATAAGTGGAGGATGTTAGTTATATTATTCTCTAAAACTGGTCTGTATGTTAAATATTTCTTTTAAAAACACCAAAAATAAAAACAAGAGAAAAGTGATAATAAATTTACAGTAGCTGTTAAAAAGGAAAATAATAACAATGTGACTGTAACAATAAAAAGAGACATAATTCAGATGGAGGAATCAGGTAAGACTTCTCAGAGAAAGTGACATTTACACTGAGAATCTGTAAGGATTAGCCAGAGTGGGGGAGATGTCCAGACAGGAAAATCAAAAAGTGCAAAAGTCCTAAGACCAAATGAAAAGTGTGCAGGGCAGCGTGCATGCACCCTGTGAGCTCCTGATGAGCCATGGCAAGAAGCATGCACATTGTGGCTGAAGCCATTAAAGGATTTAAAGCACATGACAAGACACAATTTGTGTTTTAGAAAGATCCCTCTGGCAGCTTGCTTTGTAAAAATTGGAGTGGGTAAAAAAAGAAGAATCAGAGAGGTTGTTGTAAGGGTCCAGACAACAGATGATGGTCAACTTCATTTAGTGACAATGTAAACAGAAATATAAGACCTGATTCAAGTTACATTTTCAATAAAGACTGACAGGACTTAATGATAGATAGGTTGAGGGAAGAGGAATAGAGAGAGAAGACAAAATGTCAAAAGGTAGATAACAAGGGCTGGCCAAGTGGCGCGTTGGTTAAGAGTTGGCTTGGGATGGCAGTTCTGAGCAGCAGGGCCCCAGTTCGGATCCCATATGAGGGCCAGTGACACTGCGCCCTCTACAGCTAAATGGTGAACAACAGCTCGACCTAGAGCTGAGCTGCCGTGAGTCACCAGCGACGGCATAGGCTGCAGTGGGGCTGCAGTGGGCTGCCATAAGCTACTGTGAGTGGCCAGCAGCCAGCGTGAGTGGCTGGCTGCCAGCGTGAGCTGCAGAGACACTGTGAGCGGCCATCCAGTGGCCGGTAACCAATCTGCCTCACCTGGGAAGAGTATAACGATAATACCAACATGGGCCAGTGAAGCAACGTCCTCCACAACTAGACTGAAGAACAAAAGGACAACAACTTGTCTGTTCCCCTTCCCTGATTCCCTGATGCTGTTCCCCTCCCTCAACTCCCCAATAAAATCTTTAAAAAAAAAAACAGTAGGTAAGAAGCCCATGAGATCAGATCAAGGTTGTAAAACTTTCTTAGAGATTGTTAAAGGTCGGTTTGAAATTGAATCCTAAGTTTCCTAGTTCCTACATTAATGCAAAACCCATCATTAATTACTTAATTCAGACTCTATAATATGAAAACAAACTGGCAATTGAGAAGAAAAGTTACACCTGATAGAGAAAATTAACAAAAATATATTCCTCATAAAGGTGCTGCTGTGTCATAAAAGAAATTCCGTGAACAATAGCCTTTCTGTAAACTCAAAATGTTTCTTAATCCTGCCTGCATCACATCTCTTAATACTACTTGACATAGAAATAGTTAACTATCCACATTGTAATTTCTAGAATAGCCATTGGAAGAACAGGAACAGAATGAAAAAAGTTGAGAACAACCATTTCAAAGTTGGAAAAAACAAGAAACACATGGGAAAACAGAAACCATAAAATAAGATGATTTATTTAAACCTCAATGAATCAACAGTTATTGTACATTAAATGTTAATGGACTAAACACTCCTGGTAAATTACAAAGTGACAGACTGAGAGGATCCTCAGATTCCAGCTTTGGTTGGCACATACCAGGTAGGGAGTTTGAATGTGACACAGCAGATCTAGGGCTGAGATTTCTAATGATCTTTCCACCTCCCTCCTCTGTGAGGGTAGGTCATGCTTTCGTCCAACGCACCCGTTAGGGAGGTGCGAGTCTATCTGGGGCCCAGCTTTGGGCCTGCATACTAGGCTGGGGGTGGGGTGTGTGGGACTAACTGTGTGTCCATGACTCAACCTGTTGCCAGACGTGTGGTTACATACAGGCAGAACTGAGCAAATTTAAGTAAATATATTGGGGACAATGGCAGCCAGGTTTCTCACTGTTGGAGGAGGGAATTACAAATATGGGAAGGATAAAATGTGGAATAAACACTGTACTGTTGGAATTGGAGGTACTGATATAAATTCATGGTTTTTAACAGAGAGAGAGAGAGAGAGAGAGAGAGAGAGAGAGAAAGGGAGGGAGGGAGGGAAAGGATAAGAAAGAGTGTGGAAGGACAGGTGTACATATGAGAAACTGGGTTGTCGAAAAACTCATGACGTATCTTGTCTGTGTTTTTCAAAGGTCGATTATTTATATAAAGAACAAAGTCAATCAATGATATATTGCCCATTTTGTTCGATAGCCTTTTGCCATCTTTCAGTGAGCTTCTTAATTCCTCATTCATAGAAGGACCTGTCTTTATTTGTGAAAAACTGAACAAGGTGCTGATTTACAGCCTCTTCTGAATTGAACGTTATACCGTGTGAGTTTTGAAGAGAGCAAAACAAGTGGAAGTCTGACAGCACAAGGTCAGGCGAGTATGGTGGGTGTGGCAACACATCCCATCCAAGCTCCAATAATTTTTGACGGGTGATCAAACTTGTGTGTGGTCTCGTGTTGTTGTGATGGAACACAGCTCCTTTACAATTAACAAGCTCTGGGCGTTTCTGGATGATGGATTTGTTCAAACTGTCCAATTGCCGACAGTACACATTCAAATTGATTGTTTGGTTCCTTGGTAGGAGCTCGAAAAACACGTCACCTTTACAATCCCACCACACTGAGAGCATAATCTTTCTCTGATGAATGTCTGCTTTAGAGTCGTTTGAGGCAAATCATCACATCGGGACCAAGACCATTTTCACATCACATTGTTGTAAACAATCCACTTCTCATCACCAGTTATCAGTCACTTCAAAAAAGGATCGTTTTCCTCATGTTTAATGAGCATATTGCAGATGTTTTATATGCACCATCAAATGAACTTCTTTGAGTTCATGCAGAACCCAAATATCGAGCTTGCTTACGTATCCCAACTTCTTCAGGTGGTCTTGAATGCCTGAATGATGGATGTTCAATGTTTCTGCAATCTCTCGTGTCATGTAACGTGGGTTTGACTCAATCAATGCCTTTATTTTGTCGTCAACAACTTCGGTAGGCCTCCTTGACCAAGGAGCGTCGTTGAGATCAAAATCACCAGCACGGGGCCAACTGAGTGCCTCAGTTGGTTTAGAGCTCTCTCAAGAGTGTGAGCTCTGAGCAACAGGGTCACCAGTTCAATTCCCCGTCTGAGCTGAGCTGCCAACAGGTGGCAGGATGGCTCAGCTGAAAAAAAAAAATCACCAGCACAGAATTTCATGAACCATCATTGGCACTGATGTTCTTGTAGAGCATTGTCACTGCAAACTTTATGCAACTTTTACAAGCTTGACGCGTGTTCTTCCCTTTATGGAAATAAAACAGTAAAATATGGCAAAAATGAAGTTTGGTCTTCCATCTTCAACTTGTTGTAAAATCTCTAAAACTCAGCCAAATCGCTCACTTTTTTTTTAGAATGAAGCTAGAACTGTCAGCTGTTAAATGATACAGCAATAACATAGATGCAAATCACTCTAGTACTTCCAAAAATGAACTAGTGCCATCTGTTGCAAACATGCGTCATGACTTTCCCGACAACCCAATACATTAGGTAAAACTATAAAAAAGAAACTATATAATTTTCAAGTTATTAATTACCATTTATGGAAAAAGAGGCAACACAAAATGGGATGTGGAGGAGCACACAAGAAGTTAAGGATATTGGTAACATTCTACTTCCTAAGATGGATGATGTTCATTTTATTATTATTATTAAGTTATTATGCTTTTATAACATGTACGCCTATTTTGCATGTAAGTGTGTTCTCAACTGACACCTCGAGAGCCTGAACTTTAAAGTCTTAACATTAACCTAACAATCTATTCATATTGGAAATTCAGCTATTTCCACTAACTTTTTTGTGTGAGTCAGGTAGAGTGTGTAATTTTGGTTTATTTGCTTTAAATAAACAACAGTGCTCAACTATGATTGTGTGTTCCAATACAGACACAATTGTTCCTCAAAGAAAAGCCTCTTCTTCATGAATACTCATCCTTTTAATCTCATCAAACATAACAACCCTAAAGAAAAATAACATTAAAAATAATAATAATTGTCATCTTTTCCCCAAATAAGGATTCAATGAAATAGGACTACTGAAGTAATTAGTAAAACCCTACGAGAAGTGTTACTATCTCATCTATATAGGCTGGTACATGAAGGTTTTTAAGGATAGGTTGATTTATAAAAGAAAAACAATATAAGATAAACTTCTTTAGACTTTCAGCTAAACAAAGGTCCTTTTTTTCTTTAAATTTCTCCTGACTACATATTATAGATTATATAAGAAAAAAAAAAAAAACAACTACTTTAACTTACCATTCCACTGGAATTATTTATTCCATTCATATTAATTTTGGTTACAAATCTAACTGATGGAGGAGCTTCTGGGTATTTAGGTCCACATTCTACTTTCAGGCTATATATTCTGTTTTCATAATTTGTCTGGAAGGCAAAAAATAATGATAATAATATTCAAGTGCTAATAAAAAGGAGTACAATGTGAATGTACTTGATATTATTGTGTATGTGATCAAAAATTTACTTTTCTATATTCAAATTTATTTGACCTACATGGTTAGAAAAAAAATGCAGCAAGCATACTTAAAAGTGGAGGTTTTATAAAATAATTCTATAAAGTCATATCAAAATGATCATAACTTGCCTTTTGTGATACAAACAATGCCTGTAACAAATTAAAAGGAAAAAACAAACCACTTAAATTCAGATTGTACTAAAAAAGTTCACATTGTCAGGGGAGGGACTACTTGACTGTCACGCATACATAAAGGTTCCCATTAGTCCAGGACAATTCTATTTATTCCTACTGTTCCAATGCTTCTTTTATTAATAGTGCTTCTTTTTGTTCTCAAAAGGATCTGGTTGGACCATAAATTATGTTTACCCCACTTATATGGCAATCAGTTAACTTCTAGCAAAAGGGAAAACGCTATATTATACCATCTTACAGCAATAAAACAATTATTTCATGCCTCTTATTAGTTATGTTTACATTACTATTTCATTAATTTTGTGGATCATTAAATTCTATTATCTGAATTGAGATATAAAACAGTAAACTTTATGTTTCCACATCATTTTAAAATGGGGTTTCTTAATCGAGAAGTTTGACATTACCATTATAAAAAAAGCCATTTTAAAGCTACCAGACTTACTGTTTCTGGATTATTCAGGGCTTAATTTCATGCCTATAACTAACTCTTCTTTATCCTTATGGATTTTGTTCACTTCGTTAACTTATGGTATACAATTAAAATAGGAAAGTAATAAATGAATAAAAGGAGCAAATGTAATGCCTGTTGGTTTCTATAATAAACCTGAGGTGGGGGAAGCAGCTAACCATCGTCTACATATTGCACTTACCAAAGCTGATACTCTAGTTTCCTTTCCCTAAAGTAAGAGTTACTCCCAGGTGGAGGTCAGAACTGGGATATTAAACTACTGTAATTTAAAATGTATTCAACAATCTTGTATACATAGTGAATTTTTTAATATTTTAAAAAAGAAACAGGTGTATAAAACTCATCCAAGTTTAATGGCAAACATATATTAATAATATGACCAGCACTTTTGATATGTATAAAAAGGACTAAAATCAGACAGATTTCAAGGAAATCATCTAGTCTGTGGTTCTCCAATCTGGATGCATATCAGCCTCTCTAGAAAACGTTCATTAAAAAAGATAATAATAATAATAACAAAATTATTATTATAGCCCCCAAGAAATTCCATAATGTTAAAGATACTTATATACCAGCTTTATTTGTAATAGCCAGAAAGCAGATAAAATTCAAATGCCCATGAACAGGAGAACTGATGAACACATTATGGTATATCCATACAGTATAATAATACTCAGAAATGAAAAGAAACACTACTACCACATGGAACAATACAGTTGAATCTTAGAGACATTATGCTGAGTCAAAGAAGTAGACTGGTAAGTGCACACACTACATGATTCCACTTATACAAAGTTCTACAACAGTCAAAACTATTCTAGGGTGCATGAAGTAGTGGTTACAGTGAGGATGGGAATGGGAAGGAGCACAGGGAATTTTCTAGGTTGATAGAAATGTTCTATATCTCATTAAGGGTGTGAATAACAAAGTACATTTGTCAAAAACTCCTGGTAAGATCTATACATTTCACTATATGCAAATTATACCTCAATTTTTAAAAAACAGTTAAAAAACTCTAAGCTAGCCTACTGATCTAATTCAGTGCTTAGAGCAAACATCATCCTAACTTGACACTTTGGGTTAATTTTTCTTTTCACCTCTAAATTTTAAGTTAACAGTCAAGTCTTTCTATTATCTAACAAAAGAGTAAAATAAAATAGAAAACAGAGTAGTAAAAGGAATGACTATGTATTAAGTATATACTATAGTCAGGTACTCACCTATTATCTAATTATTAATTCTCAAAACTTCTGAAGATGGGTATAGTACCTCCATTTACATAAAAGGAAACTTATACATATAAGTAACTAAACCTCTAATGCTAAAAAAAATACTTCTTCAGAAAATTTAACACACAAACATATATGGAAAAACAAAATTGCTAATCACATAAATCCAGACAGATACAGGAATAACAGACAAAAAAACAGGAATCTTAATCAGTAAATGCATAAAAAATAAACAGCTAACCAAGTAACAGTATGTTACTGTAAGAATTATCCTATTATCCTGGCTGGATATAGATACCTAAAGATGGGGACAAAATTGCTCTAAATATGGCATCTTCTAAAGAGAAAACAACTAAGGTGAGGCACCAACCCCAGCAGGTTTTATTAAATGGCAAATGAGTGATTGCTGTGACCACTCACCTTCACCCAGTCCCACATGCTTCAGTGAGGGAGATAACTGGAGAAAGGATGCAAAGCAGAAAATCATTCGGTGATGAAGAGTCTGGCTTGGGAAGAATACTGTGCCTTTGCAAGGTACTTCCCTCCTGCCTCTTTCTGATACCCAAAAAAAGTGACAGGGTGTTCCAAGACTACCACCTACAAAAAGCAGAGGACCCACTGGAAGAGAAGCCTGGCATGGCAGTCGGCAGCATCTGCTCTATGTCCCCCTTGCGGAGCAGACCCTACCCTCTGCACAAGCTAGAACAACAGCCTTTGCCCCACACTGGGCACAGCCTGGACTTGGGAATTCAGTGACTTCCTGCAGTTCAGTGACACTAGGAAAGGGCCCAGCCTGGATAGTCCTGCTGGTGTCCACAACTGGATAAGATAAACGGAAGTGGCTCTTCACATTTGGGAACTGTGCTATGAAACAGCCCACAAAAATCACTGAGGAACTCATACACAAGCTCCAAAACATTCTTAAAGTTTAAAGTCCACTAGAGGTACTGGCTGGGAAAAAACACAAATCTAAATAATTTCAAATTCACACTCCATCAAATTCAGGCTGTCAAATGTTCGAACTATTTATTAAGTAAATATGTTCATAAATTATGAGCACTTTTTTTTTTTTACCATATAGACCATGGCAATAATGTTCACAGGCAGTGAAAAATCACGGCTTTCGTTATAAATAACAAGCTATAAAACATAAAAAATTCTAACCGTCAATATTATATTTCCTTCCTCAATGTCTTATGGAAAAATCAGAGTGGGGCAGGGGGTGTTTGTTAGTTCAACAGTGTGCACAAATTTTGCAAAGGAATACCAGAAAATATAAAACATACATTAATTTATTCTTTAAAGTTAACATTGCTAATTACCTGATCCATTTTTCTTTTGTAATAATCAATAGGAAATCTAAACTCCACCCAACAGGAAAACAGGTGAAATGTTCTCATCACAAGGTAGCAAACAATATACAAAATCAAAGACTAAAACAACCTTCAAATTTGTGTTCTTCCCAGCAAGTCAAAACATTATATAATAATACATGTTTCAAAGACTCACTACAGGGAGTGTAGTAAATGGGACCTTTGAGTAAGTGATGGAATGTAGAAAAAAATTTCCCAATTTGAAAAAATTTTGTAAAAAAAAAAACTTCTAAACTTGAGAAAGACCAGACAACAAAACACAATGGGCCTGTTGCCAGCAACACTAAAAAATACTGTACGTAAGAACCATAGACTTTTCAATATATTGTATTTTATACATGGAGAAACTGAAGCCTATAGCATTTACATGGCAAGTCAAATGTCAGAGAGCAAACAGCAATGTGCACTCAATAGAAACCAATTTAGAAACATTTGGTTACATGTAGTGGGTTAGTAATATGTTATGTCAAAATAGACTGTTTGCTTTTCCCAAATATCCCCTCCATTTCCTCACCTTTTCTCCTCTCTATCTGGAATGTTCTCCATCCCTCCCCATCACCACCTTCTGAAATCCTACTAAGTCAGTTCTTTAAGACTCATTCCAAAGGCAACTTCCTCCACTGTTCAGCCTTCCTCAATTATTCCCAGCTGAAAGAAACATATTCTAAAGTCCCATAGTGAACTTTCTCTGCCATATTTAGAATCTGTCATTTGTATTTATTTTTCTTCTGAACTGTAAACACCTTGATGGCAATGACCGTATCAATCTTCTCCCCCCAATCCTCCAGAAAGTCAAGTATTAATACCCTGTACATGGCAAGCATCAATAAAAGTATATAAAATAAATAAAAAAGGAGTAATTTTCAGTTATAAGCTATAATTATTTTAATATCAGTATTATAAAAATATTTACTCTAAAGTGAAAATAAATGTTAATAGAAAAAACATATAATTTATAGCACTGACCCTTGGTGGCCCAATAATCATGCCTGTCCACCTTGTAAGTGTCATATCTTCATCATCTTCAAGGCCCCAGCTAACCGTACCATCGCCTACTCCTTTTTGTCCTTCTTCAAGTTCTTCCAACAAGCGAAAATTACGAGGAACTTTAACTCCTATACAAAAGAATGTCAATGTAAATGTAAAAACTTCATAATTTTAGGTGCTACATATATTAAAATTCAGCTTTTTCCAAGTTAACCTTTATAAATTATTTCCCCAAAAGACAAAATTGCCTCTAAAAAACATTGTGCCCCAGAAAATGCTGAACCTAACAATCTCTCAAAATGAAAATGCTAAAGAAAGCACTGTATCATACATTAACAGAAGTATAAAACATATATAAATTCCTAATTAATTTTATACTGACATAATTAATCATAAGGAAATCATTATGAAGTGAATAGTTGAGATTTCTGTTCCTAGCCATGAACATTCCATCAAATAAAGGGGCATGACCAGTAAGTTCATAAAAGTTCAATTTCATTAAAATATACTCTCTAATGATTTTTAAAGAATAGAATTATGACCATCTTTTAAAATGCACTAAAAGGCACTATTTTCTAGAATGTTAAAGCAGCCCCACCCACAGTCCGCAGCCAGTCTCTTTCCTATTCTCATCCCTAACCAATGGGGTCCTATCTTTGCTGTCAGCACCAGCACATTATCATTAATCCTCACTTGGTAGTTACTTGATTTGAGAACAAATGTCCTTATGAATATAACATTTTCCTAGGACACGCCCTTCACCTGTTTGCCCAAATCCTGGCAAATTTTACACAATCCACAAACCTTTCTCACACCTGTACTTCTCTACCTTTTAACTTCATCACTCCTTGCTTATTTCTAAAATCTTAACACAGATCTCTTCTTCTTGCCTAGAATCTTCTAGCCTTTCACAGTTTCCCAATCCCTCATTCTCATTAAACCTGATCTTTGGCGTCATTTTGATCTCCAATCCCTAGAATCAAACCATGATTCTTCCAATTTATCACAACTTTTCCTAGGATTACTGGCCTCTCCAAAAATGGACTTCCCTTTTTTTGTGGTCTTTCCTGTTCACAACAGCATCTAACATGAAACATCCTCCAGTCCCACTGAACAAGTCCTGAAAAAATTAGGTAAATGCCCTCAAAATCCTCTCTCTTTGGCTCTGGAGGGAGCATGTGCTTGCATTCTCTCTCTCTCTCTCT